TGTAAAGGTGTTACAGACTCCTGTAAAGGTGTTACAGACTCCTGTACAGGTCAGGTGTTACAGACTCCTGTAAAGGTCAGGTGTTACAGACTCCTGTAAAGGTGTTACAGACTCCTGTAAAGGTCAGGTGTTACAGACTCCTGTAAAGGTCAGGTGTTACAGACTCCTGTAAGGTCAGGTGTTACAGACTCCTGTAAAGGTGTTACAGACTCCTGTACAGGTCAGGTGTTACAGACTCCTGTAAAGGTCAGGTGTTACAGACTCCTGTAAAGGTCAGGTGTTACAGACTGCTGTAAAGGTCAGGTGTTAGAGACTCCTGTAAAGGTCAGGTGTTACAGAACTCCTGTAAAGGTCAGGTGTTACAGACTCCTGTAAAGGTGTTACAGACTCCTGTACAGGTCAGGTGTTACAGACTCCTGTAAAGGTGTTACAGACTCCTGTACAGGTCAGGTGTTACAGACTCCTGTAAAGGTGTTACAGACTCCTGTACAGGTCAGGTGTTACAGACTCCTGTACAGGTGTTACAGACTCCTGTACAGGTCAGGTGCTACAGACTCCTGTACAGGTGTTACAGACTCCTGTACAGGTCAGGTGTTACAGACTCCTGTAAAGGTGTTACAGACTCCTGTACAGGTGTTAGAGACTCCTGTAAAGGTCAGGTGTTACAGACTCCTGTAAAGGTCAGGTGTTACAGACTCCTGTAAAGGTCAGGTGTTACAGACTCCTGTAAAGGTCAGGTGTTACAGACTCCTGTACAGGTCAGGTGTTACAGACTCCTGTAAAGGTCAGGTGTTACAGACTCCTGTAAAGGTGTTACAGACTCCTGTAAAGGTCAGGTGTTACAGACTCCTGTACAGGTGTTACAGACTCCTGTAAAGGTCAGGTGTTACAGACTCCTGTAAAGGTGTTACAGACTCCTGTACAGGTCAGGTGTTACAGACTCCTGTAAAGGTGTTACAGACTCCTGTACAGGTCAGGTGTTACAGACTCCTGTACAGGTGTTACAGACTCCTGTACAGGTCAGGTGTTACAGACTCCTGTACAGGTGTTAGAGACTCCTGTAAAGGTCAGGTGTTACAGACTCCTGTAAAGGTCAGGTGTTACAGACTCCTGTAAAGGTCAGGTGTTACAGACTCCTGTAAAGGTCAGGTGTTACAGACTCCTGTAAAGGTCAGGTGTTACAGACTCCTGTACAGGTCAGGTGTTACAGACTCCTGTAAAGGTCAGGTGTTACAGACTCCTGTAAAGGTGTTACAGACTCCTGTAAAGGTCAGTGTTACAGACTCCTGTACAGGTGTTACAGACTCCTGTAAAGGTCAGGTGTTACAGACTCCTGTAAAGGTGTTACAGACTCCTGTACAGGTCAGGTGTTACAGACTCCTGTAAAGGTGTTACAGACTCCTGTACAGGTCAGGTGTTACAGACTCCTGTACAGGTGTTACAGACTCCTGTACAGGTCAGGTGTTACAGACTCCTGTACAGGTGTTAGAGACTCCTGTAAAGGTCAGGTGTTACAGACTCCTGTAAAGGTCAGGTGTTACAGACTCCTGTAAAGGTCAGGTGTTACAGACTCCTGTAAAGGTCAGGTGTTACAGACTCCTGTACAGGTCAGGTGTTACAGACTCCTGTAAAGGTCAGGTGTTACAGACTCCTGTAAAGGTCAGGTGTTACAGACTCCTGTACAGGTGTTACAGACTCCTGTAAAGGTCAGGTGTTACAGACTCCTGTAAAGGTGTTACAGACTCCTGTACAGGTGTTACAGACTCCTGTAAAGGTCAGGTGTTACAGACTCCTGTAAAGGTCAGGTGTTACAGACTCCTGTAAAGGTCAGGTGTTAGAGACTCCTGTAAAGGTCAGGTGTTACAGACTCCTGTAAAGGTCAGGTGTTACAGACTCCTGTAAAGGTCAGGTGTTACAGACTCCTGTACAGGTCAGGTGTTACAGACTCCTGTAAAGGTCAGGTGTTAGAGACTCCTGTAAAGGTCAGGTGTTACAGACTCCTGTAAAGGTCAGGTGTTACAGACTCCTGTACAGGTCAGGTGTTACAGACTCCTATAAAGGTCAGGTGTTACAGACTCCTGTAAAGGTCAGGTGTTACAGACTCCTGTAAAGGTCAGGTGTTACAGACTCCTGTAAAGGTCAGGTGTTACAGACTCCTGTACAGGTCAGGTGTTAGAGACTCCTGTAAAGGTCAGGTGTTACAGACTCCTGTACAGGTCAGGTGTTACAGACTCCTGTAAAGGTCAGGTGTTACAGACTCCTGTAAAGGTCAGGTGTTACAGACTCCTGTAAAGGTGTTACAGACTCCTGTACAGGTGTTACAGACTCCTGTACAGGTCAGGTGTTACAGACTCCTGTAAAGGTGTTACAGACTCCTGTAAAGGTCAGGTGTTACAGACTCCTGTACAGGTCAGGTGTTAGAGACTCCTGTAAAGGTCAGGTGTTACAGACTCCTGTACAGGTCAGGTGTTACAGACTCCTGTAAAGGTCAGGTGTTACAGACTCCTGTAAAGGTCAGGTGTTACAGACTCCTGTAAAGGTCAGGTGTTACAGACTCCTGTAAAGGTCAGGTGTTACAGACTCCTGTAAAGGTCAGGTGTTACAGACTCCTGTAAGGTCAGGTGTTACAGACTCCTATAAAGGTCAGGTGTTACAGACTCCTGTACAGGTCAGGTGTTAGAGACTCCTGTACAGGTCAGGTGTTACAGACTCCTGTAAAGGTCAGGTGTTACAGACTCCTGTAAAGGTCAGGTGTTACAGACTCCTGTAAAGGTCAGGTGTTAGAGACCCTGTAAAGGTCAGTGTTACAGACTCCTGTACAGGTCAGGTGTTACAGACTCCTGTACAGGTCAGGTGTTACAGACTCCTGTACAGGTCAGGTGTTACAGACTCCTGTAAAGGTCAGGTGTTACAGACTCCTGTACAGGTCAGGTGTTATAGACATTAGAAAGTCCTCACAAGTGTTGTAAAACAGTGCTGAATGTGCGTGGGACAGAGCGTGGTCGTAAAGGAGCTGAAAAGTGTTTCACACTAAAAGGCTCCAGTTACCGTCCTGTCAGGGCCGCGAGGTGCAGGTGGCCCCACCAGACAAAAACACCTTTCTCCGGGCACAGGGAGCTGCTGGCTTGGCCGCGGCCCAACACATTCAGGTTCATTCACGTTTTGACTGTTTTGTCTAAGAGCCGCAGAGCGCGTTTGTAGTCTTTGGGTAGAGTTCGGGGCAGGTGACGTGTGCAGACGCACGACTGCAGGTCCTCCTGAAGTGAAAGTGGAAGGGGATATGTGGGTTTGCAATTGGATTAGCATTGCTAGACTGCAGTGGGCCTTGAAGTTTGAGTGAGTCAGGGGTTTGTTTCCTCAGTGAGCGCTGAGTTCAGACCACTAAAGGCTGTTCAAACATCGTCTCAACATGTCTTCATTTGTCCCATCCATACGAAGTACAACTGTCAGCTTTAACTAGTTAATCTCCATTAATTATCGTCTGAAATGAATGCATTGATGTTATTTTGTCCCTTCAGGCTCTCCGTAGATAGTGGTCCTCAGTGTCTCCCTGTAGTCTCAGTGATGTAAAAGAAGAACGCTGCTGCATCTTTGAATGTCTCATTTCACTTTAACAAACTCTCAGTCCAAAGTAAAATCCACCTTATGACATCACACATTGACCTTATGACATCACACATTGACCTTTGTTACGTTCCTTTGAGCTGTTTGACATCAGTTTAACCACTTCCTGTTTCTGTGCTTTACTTCATGTCCTAACCTTAGACTGTAAATATTAACGTATGTAGTCTGAGTGACGTCCCCCGTCTGTTCCTGCAGGGGGCGCTGGAGTCCCATCGATGGCGGTCTCCATGCTGGAAATGCTGTCTCAGTCTAACTTTCAGTCAACCTAACGACAGGCTGAGAGCTGGAGCTGAGGCGGGTTTTAAACCTCCTGACAAACCGTTACACCGCGCCCACCTGTCAATCAGTCAGCTACACGCTTATTGTGAATAACTCTTATCCTTCATCAAATCAAAACTGATGAGTCATCAAAACATTCACCCCCCGTACAGTGTGTGTCCATCCAGACATGAGCTAATCACACCTATTTGGTTTTTTGAACCAGGCTGTAAACATGTTCATCTCTGCTGTAAAAACAGGCTTTTTAGAATGGATGTGTATGTGACTTCCTGTGCTTCTGCAGCCAGCCTCTAGTGGACACTCCAGGAACTGCACTTCAGCGTCGGCTTTATTTTTCAACTCTAGTGGTTGCTGCCTGGTCGTAACCTTCCCTCTACCAGAATGTAGTTTATTTCAAAATAAAAGCATGGTTAATTCAAACAGAAAGTAAAGAACTCTCATTTTAAGACAGAACAAAAGTTTAAAATATAGCAGTTTTTATTTTAAATGTGAAATAATGGAGGTTACTATTGAAAAGTAGCGATTTAAAAATGTAATCACTTGACAGCCAAAATACAAAAGTTTAAAAAAAACAAACACATGGTTTACTTAATGTACATTCTTCCATACTGCAATAAATAACAATATATTTACAGAAGCTTCCAACTGATACACTGAACAGTCTGAAGACTGCACATCAGGGACCGAGTCGGAGCCAGAGCTGCTCGATCAGTGAAGCAGGTTTTACAGACAGAGGAGTCCACCTGCTGATCCAGACTCACATCAACATGTCAGTCCAGTCGGGTTACAGACTGATGTCTGGGCCGTCTGATGCTCCACACACTCTGCACCCCGAGGACGCATAAAAGAGGTAAAAAGCTCTTTACAGTCTTGTAATTCTCATGAACAAACTGTGCCGCGTGGAGAAAGAGGAGGGGGGGAGGGAGGGGGCGAGCAGACGAAGGGTCTCCCCTGAGAAACATTTCTAAAGACAATTTATATATTTTGGAGAGATAAACCATCCGCTGTTTGTTCTTCTCATAAATTTTCCGGTCAGTTTTACTAGCTCGTCTCGTCCAGCGTCTCCCTGTCCGTGCTGTGTGTGTTCTTTGGTAGCGTGCTGCCTGTCCTCAGGTTCACACGGCTCAGGTTCTTATCGGGGTCTTTGAGGGCAACCCGAGGCCCGGGTCCATCCACATCAGAGCATTTCTGGATATTCACCGCTGGAGTCCTCCGCTCAGCTGATCTTAAATATTCTCCCAGTCAAAAAGGATTTCTTGGAGTAGAAAAGGGAACGTCCACATGACGGTTGGTTTCCTGCTGAAGAAGATGAACTTAGCAGCCACAGAACAAGTTTATCAGGCTGACAGTTGTTTGGTTACTTTCCCATTTTTCCTCTCATAGCAGGTCAGCCTCTACATCTGTTCTTCAGGAGGAAGTCGCCTGACTCTTATGTGTTTGGGTTCACTTCCAGCCGTTCATCTCTTTCAGCTTGCTGATGCTGGTCCCTTTGATAGGAGTGGAGGGTGGGGGGTTGTAAAGGGGCAGGGTGGGGGTGCTACAGCCTCGTGTCAACAGCTTCTCTGTGGGGACCGTCCAAACAGTCCGGGTCTTCTTCTTCTTCACTTTGTCCGTCTTGTCTTTAGAGGAACCAGGGGACATGGACTGGAGAGGAAACATGAAGGATGCAGGATTAAAAATGTGACCTTGACTGACAGTAGATGAAGCAGTTTAATGGAGAGGATCTTCATCTGGCCTCAGTCTTTACATATTCTGCAGCTGTGACTACATTATTTAATAAAAGAACATCTCCTCCTTGTAAGACCTGTCCAGCTGCCTTTATCTCTCTTCTTAAGAAGAAAGTAATAAATGTGACATACGCAGCAGCAGAGAGCGAAGCAGCTGAGCTTGGCAGCGTTTCGTCCCGTTCCTGCGTAGCGGTTCTTCTTTGGCAGCAGCAGAACAAAGGACACGGCCAGAGACAGATGGTAGAAGCTGTGGACGTAAGCATAGTCCCACTCCTGAAGCGGGGGGAGACCAGGACATCGTCTTTAGAGTAATCACATTTATTGAAGTGCAGCTACATGAGAACATAAGAAAGTTGAGGATTATCATTCTCACCTCAAAGTAGAAACGCAGCATCAGAGCGAGAGCGCCAAAGCAGCAGCCCGGGCCGACCTGCTGAGTGTACACTTTCTTCTCCGGATACACCGCCCTCAACTGCCTCATCTTCTGGAGCTGAAGTTACAACAATAACCATGCGTTAGTCACGCTCGCAATACAAGACGTTTGTATTATCGGTTTGATGAGAAGAAGGATGAGGGCAAAAGAAAAAAAGAAAAGACAAAATGAAACAAGTGAAAGAGGAGAAGAAGAGGATATGAAAAGGAGTAATCATGGCGCAGTCACCCATTTGACAGTGATGATGAAGACAGCTGATCCAATTGGTCCAGAGTAGATGCCATAGCCCCAGCGATCCTGGTAGATCCTCACAGCTGTGGTCAAAACTCCAAACATGGTGATACTGGAGCGCTGCGGCTCATCAAAGTCACCCAGAGCTGCGACGAGGAGACACAAAAACAAACTTTTTTAAAATCAGGGAATTAAGAATTAAGATTCTGGCAGGAGATTTCAAGGTCAATATGATAGTATAAAAAAACTGTGATGCATAGACAACAATAATAAATCTGTTCCCTCATTATAAGAGGAGGACACAAAGGATACGGGGATGAGCAACAGGCTGCAGACGCAGAATCCTTTATTCATTCTTCTATCTCATGCTGACATCTTAACGACTTTCATTCTTTACAAATCTTTTGCTTGGTTTCATTTTGTCAGCTGGGTTTGGATGATTGTTCTTTTTTCACGGTCAGATTGAGTATCTAGTGGATCTTCATACAGAGTGTGGACCAATCAGAGCAGCTGTTGAAGCATTTGGTGCTTCACGTGATTTAAAGGACTCAAGACCTTAGACTGGTAGAAAGAGAGGAGCAAATGTCTCTACTGAGTGTGTGTGTGTGTGTGTGTGTGTGTGTGTGTGTGTGTGTGTGTGTGTGTGATCATATGAGATCAGCATGAACACATGTGCGCTGAGCTCAGAAACACAACACATGTTAATAACAGCTGCTGCAGGCCGAGCTCTTTGTTTTTGAACTCTAACTAAAGAAAGTTTATCTTTAATTATGTTTTTTTTCTTTTCTGGCTCATGAAAGTTCTAGTTTTTCAGAAAATCAATCAAAGCTGATGCCATGATTATGAACCTTAATAACGGAGGACACATATCGATCACGGCCTGGCCACGCCCCAGCAGAGTCCACTTCGACTTACCGATGAGCGTCACCCACATGGAGAGAGCCGTGGCGTACACACTGAAGTACTCCAGGATGTCATACTTCATGAAACACAGGATGGAGAGGCCTGGTCCGTCACACGCGTGGTAGATCTGCAGGAAGACGTACATGTGCAAAGTCAAACAGACTGCCAAGGGGTCCAGGACGGGGACGGGCAACTTTGGTCACAGCAAGGGCCACAATCATTTAACACTCAAAGCCAGAGGGCCAAAATGTCTCAAATTGAACTCAACATATACCACTGATCAGATGTTATTATGGACATATTTCTGGTTTTTCATGATTTCATGGCAGATTTTGTTTTCTTCATGTTTCAAATTAATTGATGTGTAAGATGTGAGGGTTGATGGGGGCCGTTGTGGGCCCCCGGGCCACCAGTTGTTGACCCCTGATCTAGGAGGTTAAAGAGTTGTATTGTATAAAATGTGTCCGGATGGATTCAGATTGAAGAGTATGAAGTAACTGGTTTAGATGAGACGTAGCCAGAATACTTGAGCACAAGATAAGAAGTCTTAAATGTGTGTTACATATATTTAGAAAAACAGGAAACAGGTTCAAAGAGACCTTGATTTGGATTTTAGTCATCTTTACATCTCGTACTGGATTTATGTTACTGAGTCCAACTTTTACATCTGAAGGAAACTTTAAGGTCGTCAGAAAATGACAGAATCTTCGAGTGTGACCCGACAGGCTTTCACTCAAACGCCAAAGTTAAAGACCGTTTCAGTCCATCACATTGAAACAGAAGCATTAAGCGTATTCTCACCGCAGTGAAGAACATGGTGAAGAAGTAGACCATGGCCTCCATGTGGAAGCCCCGTTTGGCGGCCACACTGGCTGTAGGCAGGAACACCAGGCTGCTGACTGTAGGGAGCAGCATCTTGGCGATAAACGCGCCCATCGTGGAGGCAGACACTCAGAAAGTTTGTAAAAGAGAAAAACGTCCTCTGTGTTTGAGAAGTTTGAAGTGAGATTCAAGTTAAGAAAGCAGGTTTCTGGTCTCGTAGTCCTTTGTGGGAGAGAGTGTCGCAGTGACTGGATGAGCTGATAAATGCATATACAGCACACATACACTCCCACACAGCCTGGTCACACCCAGCTGTCCACTTTGGCCCTTTAAAGTTTAAATGTCCCCCAGCGGCTGGCAGCTCAGCAGAGGCCTGTATGTGCAGTGTCATGACTGAGCAGCTGTTTGAATACCAGGGCAGAGAGGGAGGGGCTGCAGGCTGTAGAAAACAACAATGTCCATTTCTAGTTCAGGACTAAAAATCAGTTGAATAAAGAATCTGGATTTTTAATTGGATGATTTAAGACAAATCAATCGTTCTCCCTGGGAGTGATAATCGTGACGTCACATTCACGGCCACCGTGAGCCGAGAGCAGCCGGAAGAGTAAAGGAGCCGACAATGCATGTCCCGAGTCTTTGAGGTTATTAAAGGACGAATATGCAACGTTCTGATCCAGTAGATGTCGCTCTTGAGCACCAGCACTAAACAAAAACAAACTGCTGTTAGGCCACGCCTCCTCCATACTGAAGCCTCCGCTCTCCTCCAGAGACACGCCTCCACCCCCCTCCACTCGCGTTCACATGAAGGAGTTATCAAATAGAACGCACCATAATGAAGCGTCAACGCAAACAAAATTGTCCCCTGCCCGTGTCCTGCATTGTTGTGTTAGCATGCTAATGTTAGCGCTCTTTAGTTAGCTCGTAGCTTCACATTGTTGTGTTAGCATGCTAATGTTAGCGCTCTTTAGTTAGCTCGTAGCTTCACATTGTTGTGTTAGCATGCTAATGCTAGTCAGTCATGACTCAGAGAGACGTTTCATTTTTGGCAGGTTTGATACAAATAACTCAATAAATCCATCGTTCATCAGGAAGTCGTCTCTAACGGGCTGTAGACGCTGACAGAGTCATATTAACTCAGAATCCAGAACTGAACCCTGTGAATCGACACCCCGCCCCTCTGCTTGTCCACATGTGATGGTTACACATGTCTCCTGACAGCATGCTCTCTTGTCACAGCCTTTACATTAAGAAGAGGAGCCGCTCATGAAGAAAGCTCTAAGGTCGTAGAAAAGGAATGAATTCTTCATGACTTGAGAGCCTTTAACACGGAGACCTCCACTGTGTGTGTCACTGGACGTGTCGTGACAACAGAGTCTTTCATGATGGACTGTAAGGAGAAGGATTTCTCTGAGACACATTGGGATCAATGCTCGCACACCTTCACTTTTTCAGGCTTTTGTTTTTACACCGGCTATACAGACGACACACCGTATAGAAAACCTCATGCTATAAATAAAGAATGTAAAATGTAAATGTCATAATGAAACCATCTAAGAATGACCTGATTGATTCTTATTGTGGATACGACACCGTGGATGACGAGTTAGAATGAGTTCAGCAAAAACCTCCTTTTGAGACTTCAATATTTAGAAATGACATGATGTCGCTGCAAGTCTTTCTTCAGGTCTCGTCTCGGAATCAGAAGCATTTTTACTCGTTCTTGTCTCGGTCTAAAAAAAGGACATATTATGATAAATCCACTTCTACAGTGTTTCTGAACATATATCTGATTAACCTGAGTGTCTAAATAAATCCATCCAGTCCTTTGTTTGTGGCCTGCACAAGTCTTACAACACAGAGAAAAATGCCTTGTTTCTAAAGTGCTCTCCTTGTGATGTCACAGTGGGATACCCTCCCCTCCCCTGGTATCTCCACCCATGGACTCCCCCCCAACCTAGAACTAAACTTTTGCCCAGGTCCGCCATTTTTATTCTCTCTACAGAGGAGTGATGTCTGTGAATATAAAGACAGATAAGTTATGACTGTGATGCTGAAGCCCCATGAAGTTGTGTTCAATGTTTTTCTTCGTGTCGTGTCGTCATAGTAACAGCTGCATGAAGTTCTCTGTTAAGAATGAAGTTGTCTGGTCATGAGCTACTTAAGGACATGTGAGCCTCCTCAGTGAAGCCATATTTGACTCTGTCCTGCTCTGTTGTTCACGGGGATCTCTGGATGAATGTCTCAACCCCCCCCCCCCCCCCCCCCCCCCCCTTCAGCTGTTACACCTGCTCAAAGGCTTGTGGCAGTGACACAAAGGGTGTTCTATTGCTCAGGGCTTTCACCGCACGCCTCAGATTCTCCGAGTGTTTCAGTAACCCGAGCCGCCGGGGCCGGGACGGGACACAACCTCTCAGGCTGCTTCCACAGCCTGGACACGCCCCCCCTGGACACGCCCCCCCTGAACACGCCCTCTGTCGGACACATCTCCGCCTAACTCAGCCCTGTGTTTGGAGTGTAGGGGCTGCAAGCGTTCAGTGATAGAAACACTTTGCTCAGCACGTTGAAATAGGTGACATTCCTGTAGCTGAACTGAGGTCGCAGGTCACTCTCAGTGACCTCTGACCTCCAGCACCCAGCAGGGGGTTTGTTGCTACTTTCTGTGGGAAAATGTGGACACGTCCCGCCCACCAAGTTATTCACTGAGGTTAAGAGTCACCAGACTCAGATTTCATTTCAATATGATTCTAGTAAAAATAGAATGTGATTAATACCTGTTCTAAAAAACTACGGCAACAACAAATAAAAGTCCCAAGCTCCCAATTCAGGATCCTGCTCACGGTCTGCAGCCCGGCTCACACTGCAGGAGTTTAAAATCCTTCCTGATTTTGAATTCAGGTAGCGTCACACACACGAGGAGAGTCCTAAAAGATATATTTCTCTTAATCTCAAACATGAAATGAAAATAAAGACACATCACAGACTACAGGTTCATCATGTCAGCGGAGGAACGCGCCGCCTCATGTGACCTCAGGTAGACGATGGAGCCGGAGGTTAAACTTGTGTTTTGAATGTTTTTTGTAGAGATGAAAAACATTTTAACTTCTGGGTGAAGCAACGTCTGGGGAGACGCGGACAACATGGAGGTCAGGTTGTAACTGTCAGATTCATCTCAGGTGTCCAGCTGACTCGTTGGTCTCTCGTGGTTATTGTACTCACACACGACTTCCTGCAGACCTTTTCATAGAGTAATCTTCCAAACATGTTTCATATAAATCTAGGCATTGCTGACGCTCTCTGAGAAGATGGGGGACGTTCTGATTGGATCTTTATACGACTCACACTACGAGTTCATCTGGGCAGATAATCGGGTCTGAGCGGCCGCGAGTCAGGAGCGACCCCGCCCCGTGAGGAAGGAGGAGTCGAACCTCAAAGCAGCCCGATGATCCTGCAGTCTGTGCCAGGTAAAGAATATGACAGAAGATCTTTATATTATTTTAAAGCTCGAGTTCTTTTGATATGGATCATTATGATAACAGGAGATTCAGAGTATCTACGATTCTGACAACCCGAGTACTCCAAGTCTTCATTAGTCCCCGTTCCATGAGCAGCATGAGTCTGTAAGCTGACCCCAGACGGAACCTCTCCTGACCCCCCAGGAGCCGGTGGTCAGGAGGTCAGAGCTCGAGTCCCAGGTGCACTGTGGATTGTAACTTATGAAAGTGTGAGAATTTAAGTGGGTCCAGGACTGACTCAGACCTGGACAGCAGGGTCCAGGACTGACTCAGACCTGGACAGCAGGGTCCAGGACTGACTCAGACCTGGACAGCAGGGTCCAGGACTGACTCAGACCTGGACAGCAGGGCCCAGGACTGACTCAGACCTGGACAGCAGGGCCCAGGACTGACTCAGACCTGGACAGCAGGGCCCAGGACTGACTCAGACCTGGACTGACTCAGACCTGGACAGCAGGGTCCAGGACTGACTCAGACCTAGACAACAGGGAGGCAGCTCCGTGCCAGCAGACGTTTTTTTTAAAGATTTATTTTTGGGCTTTTGGTGCCTTTATTGTAGAGACAGGCTCAGTGTCAGAATCAGAGAGAGAGAGAGGGGGGTGACATGCGGGTGAGGAGCGACAGGTCAGACCTGAACCTGGTCCAGCTGCCTGGAGGACTACAGCCTCCATACATGGAGCGCGCGCACTAACCACTGGGCCACCAGCGCCCCTCATGGGATTTTCAAAGAGCTCTTCAAGTCTTGAACTAAAAAGTTCTATATATTTTTAGTTTTTATTAGAACATGTGAACGAAAATGTCTTTATTATTATTATTCTATATATGTTTTGGGGGTCATTAAATCTTTTTTTTTATAATCTGGGTGTTTGTGGTGAAATGTGAGGACCCTCAGTTCTTCTGGTCCAGGAGAGTCCGTGGCCTGTGGTGACTTTCACCTCCGGACCCCTCAGTCTAAACACGACGGGTAAGTGTGGGAATGTGGAGCAGACTTCCTGGACGCATCTGAAAAAACACCCGGCTTCCTTTTGATTCAGTAATAAATAGTCATGACTTGTGACCTGCAGGCCTTCGAAAATAATTGAGTGGGCGGGGCTTAAGATTCAGCCAGACAGTCACTGGGAGAGAAAGGGAACCAGTGTGAGCGGAGCTGCTGTTTCTTTACCTGGAGCTCGTCCTCACTGCCACCATGTTGACTTTCTTTAATCAAAGATATTCACACTTTGAATTATCAAAAAAAACATCTTAACAAGCAGGAAATTATATTTACTTTAAGGTTTCCTGCTTCAAACAAACACAAAGTATTTATTCACTGGATCCATCTTTTGAAGTTCATGACCTGTTCTTCATTTCACATGAGCGAGATAACGTTTGAGTTTGATTTGACAACATGTCTTCAGTGCAAAATGTATGAAACCATTAAACGTAGAGGATGGAAGCTGAAGATCTGGAAGACGTTTCACCTCCTGAAGTCTGCTCAGAGCTGGAGCGTGTTCTTAAATCCTTCTTACAAACTTTTGAAGAAGATTCTCTGATGTTTGCTTCCGAGGTAAGAACAGTATGCAGCGCACACTACAAACAACAACATTTCTCCACATTTAGCCCTAAAACATTCACATTGGTGTGAAGTCACTTTTTATTCACATTTAGAGAAATATTTGTGAACTTTGTCATTCTTAATTTTTGTGAATATAAAGTTAAGATAATTTCATTGAAACTATAGATGTTAAATGTTACCTATACATGTCCTGATTCTAAATGTTTAGGATCTAAACTAAATATTTAAAAATCTAGCTAAATATTAAGCTAGGTTTCTACGTTCGGCTACCAGAATGCGCCTCATTAAGAACAGAAGTTACGAGCACTCTGAGCGGCTCGAGCTAAACAACGGTTATTGCATCGCATAACCGTTGACAGTTGTATAGAAATAAAGGCTTTACTTTGATATTTAATATATGGTTTTTTATGATCCTGTTTTTAGTCTCCTATGCGTCTTTGTTCCTTCCTGTGTAACCTTTCCTCACCCTGCTGACCTCCTGCACTCACCTCCACTTCACAACTCATCAAGTTTCTGTTAGGAGTCCGGTGCTCTGCGGGCGCCATCTTCAGCCCTCCGTCAGGCGTCTCCACATCCTGTTTTTTTAGCTACCAGAATGTGTTTCTGTGCGTCTGCAGGGCTGTGCACTCACGCCCTTATATGGGCATTAGCAGGCGGTTACCTATGCTAATTAGGAACAACATGCGCACGCTTTTAACTTAAAGGCTTTATCTGTGATTTTTCACACTTAAATGTAGAAATCAAGTCTATCCTCTGAAAATAACTCTGTGAGTCATGACTGTCTACAATGGGTGTAACACCCGAGTCCCACTGTCTGTGATGTTTTCAGAGTCCTATCTTCACTTTGTTTACATCGCCAGGACGGCCGGCTGACTCCTCCCCTCGTGTATAAAAGTTGTTTAATTGAGGGACTAGAGAAAAGAAGAATAACATACTGTACTCACTGCTTAACTGTGTTTCTAGATCACGCTCATTTCAGGTAAATTTACATGCAGTGTGAAGATACCAGCAGAATAAAGATCACTAGCATTAGCATGCTAACACAACAATGCAGCGTGAGTTGTTTTGGTTTCATGCTGGTGCTCAAGGGCGACATCTGCTGGATCAAAAAAATCAAATAGTAAGCCTTTAAAGAACACGAGGAGGTAAGAACACAGCTGCAAACGGTTCAGTCATTTTAAGAACACGTTGGTGAATCTGACCGAAAGTCTTCTTAGAAATCTACTTCAGAAAGAAGAAGATTGTGACTGTAGATTAGACTCCTGAAGAAAGTCCTGAAGAAGAACAGGTGAATGAGGCCCGTTTGGACTTGAACAGTGATGCTCTGGTTCCAACCCAAGTCCCACAGACTGAGCTACTGCTGCCCCCCAGATTAAAGCTACCCCCCCCCCCCCTTATTATTCTCATCTCATTTTTATTATAACTCTTATCTCGTTTATACTTCTAATCACCTTTGATTGTTTTATCTCTTTTAAACACTTCTTACATCTTCAGTCCTCTTGGTCTGAGTTCTGATGATGTTCAGGGTTCTGTTTGGGTTCTTGTTGGGGTTTTGTTGTTGTTGGTTGGATGTCTCCTCTGTAGGTCTGCGTTGTTGTTGTCTTGGTGTTTTGTTGTTGTTTGTTTTCTTATTCTTTGTTGTCGTGTTATTCTCCTATTTGTCGATACATTTACATCAACTCTTCAACTGTTGAGAGGAATCAGTGTGTTTTAGTTTCACACGCTGCAGAGTGAAGTGAAAGTGGGCAACCTTCTGTGGTTTGTGTTTATAATGCCTTTAATCGCTCCTTTGTCTGCGTGTGCCAACACTAATGACTCCAGACTGTTTGGCATGCTCCACACGAGAACAACACGAGAACAACAGAGGAGTGTTGGACGCTCTTGAGCAACACTTTGTCTGCAAAGCTTTTTACTCGTCATGTGTAGGGAGGAGGTGGGGGGGTCTCCTGAGGTAAGATGTGACGTAAAAAAAACAAAGTGGACAAAGCAACAGAGTCCGCTATAATGAGAATATTTGTCTTTTTATCAATGCTACGTGTACTCGAGGTCTCACAGGAGAAACTCAGGGTGAAGTCCGACAGCTTGTCAGGAGTTTTTCAGGAGGTTTCTGCAAGTGTGAAAGCCCTATTAGACATGTGAGAGAAATGCATGGAGGAGGATAAGAGAGAAAGGACAGAAGAAGAAAAGAAGAAGCTCTAGGTGTGTTTGTGCAAGCGTCATTTCACATGGAGCTTCAGGAACTGGTTTAATAAAATACACCGGTAACCACCCGATAGTGTTTCTGGTGCATGGACTGAAAGATTCATCCAACATACGATATGTTTTAAAATGCATGAAGAGCAAAACGTAACAACAAAAGCATGACAGATCCAAAAAAAAAACAGACAAAGGAGTAATCCGGAGAACAAGTGCAAAGCTTTAAAGCTGCGGAGAGACAGCTGTGGAAACAGAGACGAGTCGAGGAAGGAGTGAGAGCGAAAGAGGAGAGAGAGAGAAACATACAGAGAGGACGAGCGGGAGGGGTGAGAAACAAGAGAAAAGATGGAGAAAAAAACACAAGAGGGGAAAAGGAGTAATAAAGCAGGAGGGACGGAGACAGAGGGGAAGACGACATGGTGGGCAGACATGGTGGTCCTCAGACGTCCTCTCATCATTCACTCTCATTCCTGAGTCTGAAGCACAGTCTGTCCAGCTGCTTTCGACTTTCACTGTCTGTAAGAAGAACTCACCTTCTCTAGAAGATACCTGCTTATCAAATCATAAAACACACAGTGAAGAGACAAATGTTCCTCTGGTTTGACGAACAACAGAGGACAGTGGGAGCTTCATTGACAGATCCAGAACGTTTGTTGTATCTGAATAACTAAATGGAAATCCAAAAGTGAGGCAAATGTTTCACACTTTCTCCCAATTTCCACATAGTCCGTGCGTGTTGTCCAAGTCCATTTACTTATGTCTGTTACCCTTCATCAAAACTGATCCTTAACTTATCGACTGATGCTTATTTAAAGGTCCAATCAGTGAGCTGTGTAGAGAGTGAGATGATAAAGGTATCTTACTCTCTGATCATTAAGGAAACATGCTATGTTGAAGTGCTGGCTTCTCTGACAACAATGCAGCAGCCAGTATGTCCTCCTTCTAACTTTAGATTCTGCTCCTGAATGCTCTGGATTTGTTTGGACCAGAGAAGGTAGGCGCTTTTAAGACCCCCCCCACACGGCTGTTTTGGACGCCCCTCGGTTTGCCAGATATGAGAGCAGTTATCAGGTCAACAGGTGTTGCAGTGATGGAAGCGGTCAAGAGAAGTGGTTCAGATAGAAGTGATTGTACCCGACCTAAAAAGCCTCTGCATGTTTCTAATAAGCTCCACGAGCAGAAACGTGCTCAAACTAGGATCAATATTGGAGATGCTTTTGAAAAATGGAGAGAGGTTAGAACACAGAAAGGTTTACAGACCCATGCAGAGCTGGATAAACACTGAAGCTTCAGAGTCCACCACATGGTGACCTGAGTGAGCATCAACTCTAGAGAGGGGGGGGGGGGAGACAGCTCTCTATGATGTTTATAATTCAGACTGCAGTATACATTTTAAACACTAGGGGTCAGAGTTAAATACTGCTCCTTTAAGATGTTTATTTATACTTTTTATACAGAGGCTCATGTTATTCAAGCAACGATGCGTCCATAGAGTCCTGCAGTAATTCTCCAGAAATCTAAATTAATGGTTGGAGCAAAAGAATAGCTTGTTTTTCAAAGGGTGCAATTGCATAGACAACCAATGCATGGATGTAAATAAAATGAATGTCACACGTACAGTATATTAGTGAAAAGTTAAAACTTTCACCTTTTCAAAGCGGACTGAAGAAAAGCCTCTCAGAAGGAGTCGCCTTCAAATCTAAAAAGTCGATGAAGAGCCATGAATCTCCCCTCTGGTGTGTGCAGGGTAGAATTGTTCTCTCTGTCTATGTTGGCCAGTTGTTATAACGTCGGATAGTTCAATTAATCCTGCAGTTTTTTTGGGCAGTACGAATGTTGCATTACCTACAGAATTAGAGCATCAGCGTTTTTGTGTTTGCTCAGCTATTTACAGAAACACCAAATCAGTGGCGCAACTTAAGAAAAATAAGTGAGTGCCTTTTTTCCGGAAGCTGTTATGAAGAGAAGACCCAGGGGAGGGGAGCACTGTGGGAAATCTGGAGTTTCCCTCTGTCTCTGTCTGTTTCCATCCATTTTCTCAGCATGACATCTCCTCACCCCGACAACGGACTCACAGAGAGAGATAGAGGCAGACCATTGGAAGGCGTGGATATCATATAAGCATGTGAAATGTGTTAGCTTCAGTGGGCTCAGAGATGATCGCATTTTCAGAACAATCTCTTGAGAGAATGAAAGCAGAGCAGCCAGCAAGGGTTGCTCCTGTTTTTTCTCCTCTGACCCTCCCACCCTCTCCCTCCGCTGCCACTCTACTGCTCCTGCTGACTGGAGAGGAGGAGGAGGAGGAGGAGGAGGAGGAGGAGGAGGAGGAGGAGGAAGAGGGATGCAGGGAGAGAGAGCACACCTTACCTCCCTCCCTTCCCCTCTCTCTCTGTCTGTCTCTCCCTCTTCACTCCAGAGCGACAACAGCACTCACCAACGCACCACCACACCACACACCACTGTCGCTGGCACCCTGACACACACACACACACACACACATGCACACATACACACACTTGCACATACACACACACTTGCACACATACACACACTGAGCAGCATCCTCAACACAGACTGAGACGCCCTTGGACTGCTGCAGGCGAGGTGAGTGAGTAAATATTTGAAACCTCCTGTGTGTGTGTGTGTGTGTGTGTGTGTGTGTGAGACAGTGTGCATATCATGCTTGAGTAAGCTGTGTTAAGTGTGTACTTCTTTGTGTATTTTCTGATTCAGTGTGTTTGCATGCCTGGAGAGCTAGTGTGATTTGTATCTGCTTTTTTTTGCCTGTGTACATATGTGTGTTTGTGTGTGTGTGTGTGTGTGTTTGTGTGTGTGTGTGTAAGTGGCTGTGTGTGTGTGTGTGTGTGTGTGTGTGTGTGTGTGTGTGTGTGTGTGTGCGTGTGTGTGTGTGTGTGTGTGTGTGTGTGTGTGTGTGTGTGTGTGTGTGTGTGTGTGTGTGTGTGTGTAAGTGGCTGTGTGTGTGTGTGTGTGTGTGTGCGTGTGTGTGTGTGTATTTACAAGGTAAAGCAGAGCCAATTAGACTTGTGTTTTGCACCAGACCAAAACAAATCCACAAAAAAATGCTGACTCTCCTTCAGAAGTGTGTGTATGTGTGTTTATGTGTGCAGGTGTGTATGTGTGTTTATGTGTGTACCTAGAGAGGCCAGAGTCTGTCTGGAAACTTGTCAGCTGTAGGGCGATGTGTGTGTGTTTCTCAGTGTGTGTGTGTGTGTGTGTGTGTGTACAGTGGTGAGGTAGAGGCTTACTACTTGTCAAAGTGTGCATTCTGGTTTTTACTGTTTCTGAAGAGTTACAGGATAAAACCTCTCCACGTCTTGGCCTTCTAGTTTTACTTTCTAAACATGCTAAACTTCTTTTTATGGTAGTAAAGTAGTTTCTCCTCGTTCAAACGAGTCCTGGTGCCAACATTAAACACCCTTTGGGTTCAAAATGAAAGTCAGAAGTCTGTTCAGAAGATGGTACTGTAGAGGCTGAGGACGCCGTTAAAGGTTCTGTGTGGTTTCTGTTTTTACCTCAACCCGATCTTCAAATACTGAGGTGTCCAAATTACTTCCTGTAAAACTTTCGGAATATGAGTCGCAATGGTGTATAAGACGCAGTCGGTTTTGGGGGTCTCCTCGAGGGAAAAAGGTTAAAACCGCCTTCCTCTGACACGAATATTGTGTGTATTCACCGCCGGCAACTTTTCCGATGAAAGAAAAGGTATCAAAGTGCGTCTGATGCACCGGAATTTAACTGAACATTTACAAAAGGAATTCCTCCAATAGACAGACGACTAAATCAAAAGAAACAACCCCCCTCTCCTCCTGAACTCATCACTGGCTTTAAAGCACTGAGGCCAGGTGTGCGTCGTCGTCCAGTCAGAAGCTTCACCTGTGCAGAGACACCAGAAGGGGCGGGGGGACGAACAGCACAGGGAACAGCAAACAGCCGTGACAGGCGCAGACTGCACCCTTTGAGCGTCTGCTGTTTAAACTTCTACAGGTGGTGCTTTTCTCCTGTTAGAGGAAGAATGAGCAACTTTTTCATCCAGTAGATGTCGCCCATGAGCACCAGCATGAAACCAAAACAGACTTCCTGTTTGGCCACGCCTCCTCCATACTGAAGCCTCCACTCTCCTCCACTCACATTGCACGTAAGAGCTAAGTGTAAGCGGCGGACAAAATTGTCCTTTGCTCTAGCTGCATTGCTGTGTTAGCATGCTAATGTTAGCGCTCTTTAGTTAGCTCGTAGCTTCACATTGTTGTGTTAGCATGCTAATGTTAGCGCTCTTTAGTTAGCTCGTAGCTTCACATTTCATGTAAAGTGACACAGAATGAGCGTGATCTAAAAACTCTTACTAACATCCAAATAATCAGTGAGTATGTTCTTCTTCTCTCTAGTTCTTGACTAAAACAGCTTTTATACACAAGGGGAGGAGCCGGCCGTCCCGTCCATGTAAACACGGCTCTGACAACAACACAGCCAGCGGGACTCGAGCTTCTCCCTCATTGAAAATGTGCAGAACGTCAGCAGTCTTTGTGTAGTTTGTTAATATATTCAGTAGGTAAAGTTTGTTGGTCAGACAGAGCACTAATGGGCTCCCTTGACTTTGCAAAGCGTGCTCAGTGTACATTTCTTTTTTCATTGCAAGTGAATGAAAGAATGAACTGAGCCTGGCAGTTTCCTGGGAAATGCAGCCCCGAAGAGCGAGTCAATAAATATGTCAGAGTTCAAGTGTGAGCAATCTGCCCCAGCTTCTGTTTGCCTCGGGGGTTTCTAAACTCCGCTGACCTCTCCTCAACTTCTCAGACTGGCTTCTTTACTCGTCCTCTAAGTCTTTGCTTATTTCTCTTTCTTCTCCTCCCTCTGTCTCGTATCCATCATCCTCTTTTCCCATCTCGTCCTCCGCCTGCCCATCTGTCTGTCTGTTGGTTCTCATGCTCGTTTTCTTTGCATACAAGAGGGCAATAAAACCCTGATTCATTCCCCTCTGCATGTGCACTGAAGAAGAAGAGAGTTTGGCTCATTGATGAGTCTACCCGCTGACGAGCAGACAGCCACACCACACTCGCTCCGCGGTCTGACCGATGTGGGCTTCAGAGGGCAGACAGAAACACCATCACCACTTATGTCTGATTTAAATCATGAACACTATGCAGTGGTTTTTGTCCAAATCTAATCAACAAAATTGTCTCGACCATTTAGCCATCAATCTCTCAACTGAAATATGCACATCACAACTTTTAAATTTTAGGGGAGAAGATGCAACCAAAGCTGTTCAGTGATGTTTAAGCGTTCACAAATCTTCAGCATACATTTTGATTTGTACAAGATCTGTGAGCTGTGACTTCTAAACGCAGACAAAACTAAACTCTTCAAGAACAACAAAACGAGCATCGTCCCAGAAACTTCTGCTAACGACCGTCGAGGAATGGAGTTGGTGTCTTCTTTGAAATACTTCCCGTTTGTCTTTGGGGGGGGGGGGGGTCACATCAATATTTAAAATCCTGGAACCAGCTAATCGATAACTCGTGACTGTAAAACATTTGATTTTGCACACAAAACGTAAAAGGCAAAGGTACAGGACTGTGTTTGTAGTTCTTCCTGGGAGTGAAGGAACTACGCATCCCACAATCCATTGCGATTGTAAAGAGACCCACATACGATCGTTTATCGCGCTTCTTTCTGAACGTACACAGAACTTCTTACTACATTTATCTTTATTTAAGTGTTGATATTGTAGTTTGTGTTTAGTGCTTTGAACTTCAGTGGTAGCTGTAAACAGCCAACGTTTCCATGGTGACAGCAGGCTCCACCAATCAGAGACGTCGCTGTGATACTCTAGGGTTCTGGGTAGTGTAGTTGTTGTTTTTCCCGATTCCTGAATTACGATAAGGTGAAGAAATGCAACAAACTTTTTGTTTACATATCAAACAATCAGAATTCAAATCCTGCTGTAGGATATGATCATATTTGAGACGGCCAACAGAGGTCAGAGGATATTCAGTGTTAAACAGTTCAGTATCAGTCTTACCTCCCAGGGGACAGACTACTGCTGTCTGTCTGTCTGCTGAGGCTGCCAGCGCTACAAAAACAAGACAGCGAGGCGAGGGGCCCCAAGGGGCCGTCATGGTAGGTATACGGCGCAAGGGTGGGGGGGGGGGGGGAGAGAATGGGAGGATGAGGGGACATTGTTTACTTTTACCCTCTGGGTCTGCCTGCTCGACTTGCTGGGAAACTACAGCAACAAGGAGGAGGAAGACCAAGTGTGTGTGTGTGTGTGTGTGTGTGTGTGTGTGTGTGTGTGTGTGTGTGTGTGTCTCTGTGTGTGTGTGTGTGTGTGTGTGTGTGTGTGTGTGTGTGTGTGTCTCTGTGTGTGTGTGTGTGTGTGTGTGTGTGTGTGTGTGTGTGTCTCTGTGTGTGTGTGTGTGTGTGTGTGTGTGTGTGTGTGTCTCTGTGTGTGTGTGTGTGTGTGTGTGTCTCTGTGTGTGTGTGTGTGTGTCTCTGTGTGTGTGTGTGTGTGTGTGTGTGTGTGTGTCTCTGTGTGTGTGTGTGTGTGTGTGTGTGTCTCTGTGTGTGTGTGTGTGTGTGTGTGTGTGTGTGTGTGTGTGTGTGTGTGTGTGTGTGTGTGTCTCTGTGTGTGTGTGTGTGTCTCTGTGTGTGTGTGTGTGTGTGTGTGTGTGTGTGTCTCTGTGTGTGTGTGTGTGTGTGTGTGTGTCTCTGTGTGTGTGTGTGTGTGTGTGTGTGTGTGTGTGTGTGTGTGTGTGTGTGTGTGTGTGTCTCTGTGTGTGTGTGTGTGTGTGTGTGTGTGTGTCTGTGTCTCTGTGTGTGTGTGTGTGTGTGTGTCTGTGTGTGTGTGTGTGTGTAGTTTAAGTTTGTTTTCATCTTTTTTATTTACTCCATAAGGAACATATTTAGTTCTGTTAGAGAATGGTGCGCAGGCTGTTCTGCCACTCGAGGTCACTCTAACTGTCACGGGTACTCTGACCACGAGGTGTTTTAGGACCAAACAAAGAGGAACTATCCACGAGGGAGTTCCCTGAGAACTATCAAGGGGACTTTCTGCTGGCGCTGAGAGAGAACCTACTCTGAAGCAGGAGCTACAAAGGTTCCTCTTAGGGCACACGCGGTCACACTGGCCATCCGTACCGTGCCCAAGCACGTTTCAAGCCTAAAGTCCAGTTCGTTTGACCGGTGTGACCGCTCCGTATCGTGCTCAGGCACGGTACACTTCATGCACGAGCACAAGCACGCAGGTACACAACGCTGACAGCCTTCATTCAGGAGAAATCCAAAGTTTCATGTCTGTATCTGAATAACATGACTCAATATAAGACACAAAGTAGCTGTCATGTTCGATGTTGTTCTCCGATGTGCGGGCGTCTGCGCGGACTCATGCACGGACTCCCTGCGCGTCTATTTTATTTTTTAATTTATTTATTGCTGTATCTGATTAAAATGGTTTAAAAAAGGCTGTAAAGTATCTGTCATGTTCTGTGTTTGTCTCTGATGTGCTGCAGACGCAGACTCGACTGCACGTCTCTCTCTCTCTCTCTCTTTCTCTCTCTCTCTCTCTCTCTCTCTCTCTCTCTCTCTCTCTC